ACTTCCTAAAGGGCAGCTTCTTCAGGCGAGTGAGAGAATCTGACTGCCTGAAGACATGTGAAACTAACAATCAAACTAGAAAGGGCTTACTTTGAAGGGCGAAATGCCGTCAAAGACAGCCCCAAGTGGTACGTTAAAGGGAAACGAGCCAATCCAGTTCATCAATGCCTTGCCCAATTTTAATATAAATGTCGCCCTAATATAAACACATGCTTCCTGAAAATTACAAAGTGCCCAACACTGAATTTACATTGATTTAGAAAATGCCAATTCTAAACTCGCGATGGTTTAGCAGAACAGCCGCGTTAGGGAGCCCCGCAGTCAACCAATACTTAACTAGCACTGAAAGCAAAACTAAACCAATACGGTCATTGGTTTGCCAATGCCAAACTTACCCAAGGTCAGGACGAAATCCGTTTCTGATCACTCCCTTGTAATAACAACAAACCATGGCTTCCCATGGTTTCAAAGTGGTGCAGGATTTCGTCCATCCACAGTAAGAAGGGTCGCAAGAGGTTGGTTTCCTTTATGCTTCGCAAGCTTGAGTTGGAGCGTGCAAAAAAGCCTGCTACCCGTCTTCAAGAAGTCCTTGGAGATTGCCAAACATCCAAACACAAAATCACATCATTCGATTCAGGCTACCAGATGCTAGCAGGGTAACGTCCGTCCGAGATCGCTAATTTCCCGTGTCATCAAATATTCCACCAACTTTTCTTCGATTTTCGAGTTATCCACGCGACCGGAACCTTGAACGGAAGTTTGCGAGATACAGGGCAGATCGGCATTAGACCAGGAGCTTGAATGCTTCCAGATTTTTCACGCTCTGGAGGTAGTTGTACTCGTCACATGAGCACATTGCTTCGCTTCGGGGAGCTCCTTTTCACTACGAATGCTTTGACTTCCAACCCCTGCCATATTTAGAGTATGATGAGGTTCGTGTGCCTTTTCGTCTTCGGAGGCGGGCAAACTGGCCGAGCCTTGCCAAGCCACCCCTTCTTGGCAAACATCTCGCGGGTCTCGAACCTGAGCACTGGAAAACATATGCCCGGAGCGGGGGGCCAAACGGCCAAATGCCAAAAACGAGCACAAGAAGAGGAATCATGTCCACCTTCGAACGCAAAAAGTCCAAATTGCAAAAACAAATAACACAAGAAGGGGAAACAAGTCAATCACCTTCGAAGTCCCATTTGCAACAAGGGTGTTCGTTTCGCCATTTGGCGCCAAAGGTGGAATCGGCAAACCCGGCGTGCCAAAGGAAGGCAAGTGCACTTTCATGCTTGACCGGTCTTTCCCCACTTGTGAAGACATTAGAGTGCGCTTTTTTGAGCGCCCAGCTAGGTCCAGGCTCATGCAACCCCCCAGATCCGATGCTGAAACTGAGTGGTTTGCCTTTGCTCTTCGCTTTGTAAGCCAAAGAGGGCACCCTCAAACCAGCCCGAGTTGCAAAGCTTGATGGCACAGCCCCTGGCACCGATCTCCGAATTCAAACTACAAGCCGGCCATATGGGCATGGAATGGCCCCCCTGCAGCAAAGCTAGCTAAGCGAAAATTCCTGACCCGATCTGTGAAACTGCGACATTTGTAAACAAGCAGCGTTCATCGACTTTTTGTGGGCGCCCCATGGCCAACAGGCTCGGTACTTCGAAGGAGACAAGCATAGGCTGCCAAATCAGTGGGCGCCTCTCGCCCCACAACAAAGAAGGAACCGATTTGAAACACCGATACCTGGTTCTGGCTGGATTTCTGGTGATCTTGGCTGGCACTGTTTTTCAAAAGGCGGCAATCGTCACCTTATCCTCAACCATTCCTTGAATGGACATTTTGAGTTCTACGTCCAGGAACAAACTTGGCGATCCTCCCCGTGCAAAAGCCCAGTTTCCTTCAGACCCCAGAGAAGAATCCAACAGTCTGAGTGAAATGAATTCACCAAGCTCTAAATGAATTTCCCCAAGGCTTTGGGTCAAAAGTAGGTACGCCAAATGGAATTGGAAACATGGACCAAAACCTGCGGTTTTTTGGTGGTTTGATTTTGACCCATACCCCCAAAGGAACCTTCAGGCTTCACATACTTCCAGCGTTCACCCGAACAAAGGCACCTGTTTCTTTCAGGGCGAGGTCCGTGCCCAAAGCGCATACCTAGGCCCCAGTTTCCTTCAGACAAGTGGCTGTGGTGGTGAAAACCGTTTTGGGATCCCATTTTGGGGTTCAAAACCGTTTTGGGATCCCATTTTGGTTGGTAGCTGAATGCCCCGCCCATTTTAGGTTACCTATTTTGGTGCTTGGATCATCCCGTTCACCGGGGGCTCACCGATTTGGATCTTCAGTCCCTGAGCCTGTGGCATGAGCTTGGAGAGGCCCTGGTAGTCCGCCTGGACCTGCGAGCTTCGGAGCCAAAAGTTGCGCTTTTGTCTTTCCCACGTTCAGCTGCTCCCCCGCGGTCAGCTGGTGCCTGGAGTATTTTAACTGGACTAGTCACCCTTGCGCAACTGTTTTTCAGTCCAGGGCTTCTGCGCGTCAGTCTGAACCGGGGGCAAACATGACAACTTCGCTGGTGAGAATCGGGTCGCCGACTTCGAATGGCACCTGGGGCATGCCAGTCTGGGTTTCCAGTGGCTTCCTCCACAAAGATAGCACTGGCGGGAGGGTCACAGGAAGATCGATTTCCTGTTGATGGAAGATCGATTGTTGATGGCTCCTTCTGCCAGGTGCCATTTTCAGGGGAGATGGTAATTAATCCAGCTGCAACTTGACGCGGCATTTCATGCACCTCGCGACTCCCGAAGTCGCCTCTGCCTCCGGCAGATAGCCCTGGCCAAAGCCTCGGCTTCCGGGGATATGGGCTTGGCCGCCCCTTGCTTAAGCATGCGAAACCACCGTTTCAAAAATTCCCGCTTCCCCAAATCCCGAGGCCAAGCCCCAAGCAAAGACACATGATATCCATTAATATCCCACTTCACCTTCCGTCTTAGTTGGGGCTTTGTTGACAATCTACCCGATACTTACCCCTTATTACCTTGCAGGGTATTGGTGGTGAAACCTTTGACGATTGCTTAAGCAAACTCCTTTCAAACAAATTCAGCTTGTTGACATCGCTGACACGGTGATTCATGTCCATCAACCATCTTGAAGGGTGTTCCCAGTTTAACTCATGGTCACATCGCGTACCGAGGAATCTTGCCCAAGGTTCCTGAGAGCATTCCAGCTGAAAGCACAACATGCAGCCACTCAGGGCTGGACATTTAGTGAGCCCCCCAATGGACCCCTGCTAAACCAAACATGTTTTTGGGATCTCCGGAGCGGGCCTGATGAACCGCAGCCGGATTTTCCAAGCCGAGGCGCCCCTCATTGAATTGGTCGGTGGTTTCTCGCGGGGACGCGAACCGCCAATTAGGACGGAAGAAGTTGCGCAAAATAATGCTTTGATTCCCTCAAGGGTTGTTCATTGACACCCAACATGGCACTCATGCACATAGCGCCTGCATCTCTTTCTGCATCCTGCCCTTCCGCCCCCCCTCCCCCCAAATTTGCTCATGGTGAAGAAGTTAGCGTCCCAGCCTTCACTCCGACCCGGTCGGGAGCCAACAACCATGGCCAACTCCCACACTCCCGCCGATTGGGGCGAAGCGCGATATCCCGGGTACTCCCAGTTGTAGTCCACCTACGCAATGGGCTATGTCGCAGGGTCTGATCATGGCAGGTTGGGCTTCATTGGGTATTGTCTGATCATAGCAGGTTGGGCTTCATTAGGTAAATCAAGCAATGGGCATGGCCAAACAAGTTGCCATAAGGAGCACATCTTGCACCCAAATGTCTCCAGAAAAACAGTGAGGGTCTAGTCAAGGCGGGCACTGGGCCCTATATGGGACCTCTGCTTCCGTAGTGCTGCAATCAAGTTCATAGTCAGCTGCATTTCTATATGTGACGTTGGGACACTCCAACCCCGCGTTGGCTTCGCATTCTTGACCGTCAGTGCTCCTTACTCGAAACTTTTTAGAAGCAGTGAGGGGTGGGGAAAAGGATACTCCCCATTTTGGCTCAGTCTGCGAGAAGGCCATGAGAATCAAATTATTTAGATTGTTGACACTCACCGCTCACGTGCGCTTACAGCAAATGGTCTTTCAATGAACCGCTGGTCCAATACATAGTTTCACGACTCATGACGGCTCATGACGGCTCATGACGGCAACAAACTTCAACCACCCTCTCTCCTGACAGAAATGCAGGGTCTTTGGCAAACTGCAATGATTTGCTCAACGCGACTTCTGCTTCTCTTAGAAACCAAGACGTGTCAAACCAAGAGCTCCGTCTTGATCACTCGCAGTGAAAAAAAAAAACGCGTGCCACCAGATCTGAACCAGGCCCACCCCATCCAGGTCGTACTTCTCCATGAAGTCGGCCAGCTCCTGGGTAAGTGACGCAAAGCCTTTGTGGTTTCCCTTTGGTCAAAGAGAAATGGTCGATTTAGCGCCCAAGACCTGAAGTTTGTATCCCTGACAGACCCCCTTCTGAGGGCCTGGGGTCGCTGGTTTGCCTGAAGTCATGCGTATTCCAGTGTGCTGAACCCAGTGACTGGGCGAGACTTCGACTGGAGCTGTGCTCCATGAGGGTGGCATTGTAACCCATACCCATGGTGGAACAGCATGGAGCCTCTGTGTGAAAGGTGCCACACTTCTTCAGTTGACTTGCTAGAACATGCTCGCTTCTTTGCACGACTCACATGACCTTCCCATCAAGGCCAAGACCTGCCAAGACGGCATGAAATCCAAGAAGTCACGAAGTGAGGTTCCGTTTTGTTTGCCGAGAAAGTCGAACAAGCTACTGGGCTGCCCTCAGATCCCCCGCTAAAAGTGAATAACTTTTTGTGGGTGATATGGAAACTACCACTAAACACTACAAAGCTAAAAGGCTAAGGAACCGGATGGCTGGGAGCCACCAAGGTCACACGCAGCGCTCCACTTTTTTTGCAAACCTCCAGCGCTCGCCGTCGGCGAGCGGCTTCCTCAGAGCGACTTCGGCAGCGCCGCAACGCCTCAGCGCTGCCATGTGGCTTGGGCCAAGAACATTCTCACTTGCCCGTTACTTCCATTTGGTTAAGACCCCCGGACAAAATAATAAAACATATTCCAGTAGTGATCCATTCCTTTTAAAACCAATAAGGGAAAATAAACAAAATATTCTTAAGCAAATGGAAGCTTAGGGACCTGGAAATAAAACGTGATCACCCTTTGGGACCTTTACCAATGGACCAACATGGGAAGGCCAAAAGGTCAAGAGGTCGATTCGCTTTGGGCAAGTGAGCTTGGTATCTGTGTTTGCCCCTTTTCGGCGTGGCTTTCAAAGGTGCGAAAAGGGAACTCGAAGTGCAACCACCAATTGTTGCCAAGGGTACTTGGAGTGTCCATTGTTTCAAAATGGGGTCAAGACCCTTTTTTCTAAGTCACCGAGTTGTTCAGTAAAAAACCTTTTTTCCCTTTTTGTTTGGTGTTTTCACTCCCCCCCAAACCCAAAAAAAAGGGACTTCTTGGTGTTGCTCCTGTCTGATGGGAGTCCATATCCATCATCCTTATGCTGATCGTACTCAGTGTGCCCTTACAACGACCCCCCCGACCGTGCCACCCTGTCTATGGAGGCGCCGATCATAGCATCCCGGGTGATAATCTCTTGCAGCTTCTCTTCAGACCAGCCCTCCGTGCCTGGCGATGAAGGAAGGCTCAGGTACGTCAACCAGTCGCCCAGGTCAAATGGCTGGACACTAACCAAACCAAAAGATAATACTGATGCATAGAGGCGAGTCCCATCTTGGACTCACTTCTGTCGGGGAATCCACTGTTGACCAATCCGGGATCAACATTTCACAGGCTCAAGGGCCCAGTGGCCAGGGGAAAACAGGGCATCCTTTTCTTGGTCGGTTCAGTTTAAAGGGAAGCCTTCCCCCAAAAGAAAGGAAAAACGGGCACCACTGGGCAACTGAGCAGGGCACCTGCCACCCAGGCGCCCCATGCGCCCCATGTGCCCCATGCGGTTTCTGCCTGTTGGCCGGCGAGGGAGGATCATGTAGCGGCAGTCCGCCGTGGAGTCGTGGACCACCACCTGCGGCTTTTTTCGGCGGTTGCCGCATCCCCCCTACCACAAGGCGGAGGGGGGGGGGGGGGCCTGGGAGGGGGGCCCTGAGTTCCCAATTCCAGTGATCTAGTCTTCACAACGGAAATGGAACCATAAATGGATTTCCAGGGGTCACTCCCCTCCCCAAATTCCATATTTAAGTTCTAGGGGTTGATTCCGATCCCATTCTTTTCCACCATCGTTTGTTTCTCAAAAACCGGATCCGTGTCCAACCAAAGAGGTGCCAGTCCAAAGTCGGAACCTTGGGCTCAGAACCAAAGAGCCGAAAAAACGGAGGACAAAGCGGGGTGACCAAATCCAAGTGAGGTACCTTTTGTCCAGTCCAATCTTGAATTGCGACATCCGGCGCGGACTTCCTGATTGGTGGTCCAACTGCGGCTTGTCTTATGGCAGGGCAGCCGTTGAATGGGAGCCCTTTCGCGCGCATCTTGTCCGAACTCCAGGGTTGTGGTCGCGGGTTGTGCCGACCCCTTGTTTAAACACGCTTGAAGTTGGATATTAAAGCAGATCAGGGTTAGTTGATTGAACATGCTTTGCCCAATCCTGGCATGAACGCTCAAAAAGGCCGGTCTAACACCCTATTCAATCCTTCGCGCCCCCTGCGAAGAAGCCAAAGATACAAATGAAAAGAAAGAGGGAACGGGAAAGGAGAAAATGAAAGAGAAAGAGAGAGAGAGAGCTGGAGAGAGAGAAAGAGTCAGAGAGGGAGAGAGCGATAAAGAGAGAAAAAACAAGAGAGAAAGAGAGAAAGGGAGGAAACATAAATATAGAAAGAGAGAAAAAGAGACAGAGGGGAGGAAGGAAGGAAGGAAGGAAGGAAGGAAGGAAAGGAAGGAAGGAAGGAAGGAAGGAAGGAAGGAAGGAAGGAAGGAAGGAAGGAAGGAAGGAAGGAAGGAAGGAAGGAAGGAAGGAAGGAAGGAAGGAAGGAAGGAAGGAAGGAAAGAGAGGAAAGAGAGAAAATGAGAAAGAGCGAGATAGAGAGAGAGAGAGAGAGAGCGAGATAAGTAGAGAACACGAAAAGAAAATGAAGAGAAAAGGCAAATCAAAGACGAGAGTGAGAGGGACAATAAAACAAAGTCCGACAACAGGGTGCTCAGAACCAAAGTTATTGTATGCTAGAAACTTCTGTCCCCCGTCTTCGCTGCCATTGCAGGGTTCTCGTTCTCCGAGCCCCGTGCACCACTCTGGCGGGCACTTCACTTCGGTGCCTTCACTTCTTCAGGGAGATCGGTGCCAAACTCCTTCAGCACTTTCCGCGGCTCCCGCACCGCGCGGGACCGGTACTCCCGGCTCTTGTACCTGCTCATGTCCCCACGCTTTCTGAAAAGCGTTTCGGGTCATGGGCCTTTCGGGGTACCTTTGTTTCGGGGTTGCAGCTTTTTGCAGGGAGTACTTGTTTGGCTAGTGGCAATTGTTTGGTGTGCCCTTTCTGTAGAATCTCCCAGGACATTCCCTTGAACTACCCACGCTGCAAACACCAGCCATATGGATCCAGGCAATTGTCGTTTATGGATGTTGAGGTTAAGTAGGCTAAACTTGTATACCACTTGAGGGGTATAGTACATATATATATATATATATATATAGTTGCATATATTTATATACTACATAGAAACGCGCCCCCTGCGCCCAAAACTCATGGACATGTTGATTCCAACCAGGCAGCTGTCAGGTTTGCCGGGAACATTGGCACGGACCCGTGAGAGGGGATCTAAACCGGATCCGAAACGAGGGCCAGGGAATGTCCAAAAGTTGGTCGATCTTCTGGTGGTTCCTATCCCAAATTTGGGTTCGAATAGAGTATTGGAGCAGACTGCAATATGGGTGGGGGCTACATTGAACAAAATCCCATCTTTGCAGCTCACATGAATTGAGGGAATCGCTTTATTGGTGATTCTATCTGGTCCAAAGGAAACAGAAGGTCGAGAAGCCTAATTTCCCGCAGAATCGGAGACATGACATGGTCATCCTGCTCCTGGGTACATGGGCGACGCGGCCATCCTCATCCCGTGCTCCTGTCCCAGGGCAGCCAGTGTTAGCTAGCGTCGTTTCAGTGGTTCGCTTTTCAGAAGGAAATGACTTGGTTGAGGCGGTGCCTCAAATCGGTAGGGTGAAGTTCTCCGGATTCATCCGAGGTTGACATTGTCCCAAACAACCACAACATCTCAGACCTACTGGCAGCAACACGATGAATGGGACAGCGATCATCTTAATCGTACGTGGCTCCAAGCCTCACGACGCTACTGGCAGGTCGTAGCCTCTGGAATCTTTGCCGAAGTCTCTACGTGGGTGCTCACTTGCCATGCTTCTAACTGGGACAACAGGGGCTGGTGAAAATTCCACGGTTATCACCTCCTTCCTACCCCCTCACCACGGGAGTGAGGCCGCATTTGGACCGACCTATGACTGAAAGGGCCCTGTGCACTTCCGTGCCGTGGTCGGATGGAAAGGTAAGTGGGCCCCGGCGAGGATACGCAGGGCACCAGTCGGGTGAGAGGCCCAGCAAGGTCAAGGGGTAGCAGCTGCCTGCGGTTGCTGGATCATTCTAATGTTAACCCCGGATTAAGAACCCCCTGGTTGATTACTAGGGGGTGTCCCCTTTTAGTGGGGATATCACTCTTGGAGGGACCACCCCCCTAATACAGTAATGGGACGGATGTATTAATCCTGGGTCAACATTCCCTCCTCCGCAAATTGATGGAAAAGGGGTTCCCAAACAGGAGCTCTGTCTGAGCGTGGTTTCCCGCAAGAAAAAGGGGGCCACTCTAAAAATGGATGGTTTGTGGTTCCATGTTGATTTGCCCTTGCACTGTGGTTCCGTGGTCACCAAGGATCAAGCACCTCGCAACACATGCCATGCTCATATCTCACCACTGCCACAGGCTTGAATATGCTTTAATTCTGAAAGTCCAGCCCCGCGAGCATACTTATAATGAACCAAGCAACCAAGGACAACGCGAGGTTTCACAAATATCTCAAAAGTCTAGGCGCCACATTTCCGCTGTCCAGGCGAAGGGGCCCAAAGGCTTTCTTGCTGCCGGGGGGTCTGAAATGGGATCGCGCTCTGAAACAGAACGCCCTCGACTATTGTCTGTTGTCATTCCAGGACAGCATGATCTCGTAATCTTGGCTGCCGATGCTGCGTGAGGAATAGCTCTGCCCAAAGTCCAAAACACAACACACAAATCCACACAACTCCCACATGAAAAACGAGAGGTGGCCGAGCTTTCCCGGTGATGTCACAACTGATGCGAACTGCTTGCTGGCGCTTTTTGGCAAACGTTTCGCCAAGCGGCACAGCGTGCAAACGATCAGGTGGTGCTCCTGGCAGCGTGGCTCCGATTTTGTGAATTGGTACCAGGGCTTGGGTGACTCAACTGCCTGTTTAAACCATGGCTTCAACGTTAGAAACATGGCGAATGACAACCAAAAAACAGCCTTCCGCCTGCCAACTGGCTCTTCAAACCCCGCCCAAAACATGGAACAACACATGTTGGCCTCCCCCCATCCCAAAAGCACAACCAACGAAACAGAACAACGCAAAAAAGAAAGAAAGAAAACCCCAAAACACAACTCTCAACAACTCAGAACACTTCAATATTTTTTATTTTATTTTTAAAGCAGGCCACTCACCGCAAGAACTCCTGTGGCGTCTGCTCGAACACCACCAGCTGGGTGGGCGCCGTGGGGTTGGTGGCGTTCACCCCAAGCTCCAGGCAGGCCTCGCACTTCTGCTAGCTGGTCGTTTTTTCGTGTCGTTGTGTTTTACTTATTATTTTTTTTGATTTTTGTTTTTCCCAATGGTGTTGTTGTTGGTGGTTCTTAAGTTGGTGCTTATTTGGTGTTTTTTGTTTTTTTTTGGGGGGGTGTTTCTGGTTGATGTTTCTTTGGCGGTTTGTTGGTGTTTCTCGTTCATGTTTCTTTGGTGGTTTTGTGGGTGTTTCTGGTTGATGTTTCTTTGGTGGTTTTGGGGGGGTGTTTCTGGTTGATGTTTCTTTGGCGGTTTGTTGGTGATTCTTGTTGATGTTTCTTTGGTGGTTTTGTGGGTGTTTCTGGTTGATGTTTCTTTGGTGTTTTTTTTGGGTGTGTGTGTGTGTTTCTGGTTGATGTTTCTTTGGCGGCTTCGTTGGCGATTCTTGTTGATGTTTCTTTGGTGTTTTTGTGGGTGTTTCTGTTGATGTTTCTTTGGTGTGTTTCTTTGTTGGGTGTGTTTCTGGTTGATGGTTCTTTGGCGGTTTTGTTGGTGTTTCTTGTCGATGCTTCTTTGGCAGTTTTGTTGGGCGTGTTGTTGGTTTTTTTTTTGGTGGTTTTGTGGGTGTGTATATTTCTTAATGTTTCGGTGTTTCCTGCTTGTTTTTAGTGGTTTTTGCTTTGGTGTGTCGTGCTTGTTTTGCTTTTTGTTTTTGGCTCAACAAAACTGACAGGTGCCAGAGGAATGCCCCAGACTGGGTGTTGATGTTAAGAATGATTCCCTTAAGGGACACCAAAGGCGATGATTAATAGCATTCCCTCATTCCCTGCTGAGAACCAGCAAGAAAATGGTCCCACCAAAAAGGACCATTCTTCTGATTTTCGCTTGGCTTCAGGGGCATTGGGGACAGCATTGGGAGGGGGCAGCAGCAAACAAGTTTGCATGTTGGAGGTCCCCCTATTTAGAAAAGACAAAGAGGCTTGCCCCAAAACAGCGGCGCATCCCCAAAGTGTGCGGCTTTCCTTGCGGTGTCTCTTCTAAAAGCAAAATGGGGTCCCGCCATTTCCGGTCATGTGGCTTAGATCACGGAGGGCTACCCCACAGGTTATGCCGCACTCCTGTCACCCATTCCCGACTCATGACCTGCATGAGGGGCAGGCAGGAGTTCCAAGCGCTTGGATGTGGCGTTGTTCAACAGCAACTGGGGTTAAAACTCCCCGAAACTGCCAAAGGGAAACCTCCTTTTTTGCACTGACATCCTCTCTCCGTCGCAGCCTCGACACAATGAGCCGTGCCATCTGCTGAAAAGCAGTTTTACGTAGACTATGTAAAGCTATGTTCCGCATGATCAATTGGTTGGGTGCCCGAAATTGTCAGCCAGGGCGTGAGGTGTTTGATTGTCAATTGGAAGAATATAGGAAGCAACTGCCTGCGTTCGCCTGCGTTGACGAATCAACTGGTTGGGGGCACAAATCATCTATTTTGACCGGAACAAGGATAAATGCGCAGCTCCCGATTGCCACATTCCCGCTACTCATCCCCGCTTCCCCACTAGCCACTCCCAGCCTTGTTGGCATCCTGCAAGAGCCGTGCCTTGAACCTTGCGGGGCGCCGCCCGTTGCTGGGGTCGGAACCATCCGCCATGGCAAGAGTTGCTGGGGTCAAGCTGAAGATCTTAGGGAAAACAACGCCCCCAAAGGACACCTCCAAGGACAAATCGCGCCTCTTGGGCTAGCTTGAAGCATCACCCTGCTGATTGGAACTACCACAAGCTGCTCCATAAGCCGCTGCAAGCTTTAGTGACCCACTTGGCTTTTGGGCTGGGGGCCTTTCTATGCCAAAGGCTGTCACTAAGCCCTTGAACTTCCTGTTGCGTCTGCTGCTGGCTCCCTGGCCACGTCTTCAACCGGGGTGTTCGAAGCTTCTGGCAAGCACGCTGGTGACGCTTGGGGCTCTGGCTGATCGTCCTCAGCTGGCAATGGAGAAAGCCGCAAATGGGAAGCAAACCGATGGTAGCTGCTACCTTACCAACTTCACATAAGCCACACATGACGACCTTTGTTGCAACAAGCACGCGTGTGCATTCGTTTAGGCAGCACAGCGGGACAAAGGCATGTGATCAATTGCGCTTCTTTTCCACGACTTTCTCACGTCGATTAGTTGAAGACAAATTCTTTTGGTACGGATACCCATCAGATGTATTAAAATCCGTCTCACAATGTATTAATATTGGTCCTGGTGCTTAATATTATTGTCAATGTTATCTTTGTAAATCAATACGAATAATGTAATTCCTTCTGCCTTTTTGGGTTTGTTGTCAATGGTGGTTACAAATTCTTCATGGAGAACTGCTGAGGTCAGGTCCACTGCTCTTGCCGACAGGATCCCTTGCCGACAGGAGTTTACAAAGCCAGGCAAAAAAATATATGAACACATTATCCGTCATAAAGCATCACCAGCGGTCATGGGCCTATCATGCTCAACAGGCGACAACACATCTGCTCCCACTGAGCCATTTCGGCCCGACTATACCAGATATGGTAGGCCACCGCTTCAACACTCGGGCTTTTGCTTGGGACGCAAAAGCAGTCAATGGGTGCTTGAATGCCCTCAGTTGCACTGTCCGACATCGAGAATGCTTGCCTGTGTAAAGGCACTTTTGCAGTGCCGTGCTGCTTTTCCTCCTGGCAACAAGTGCACCCTCGACGCTGCCATCCTTGTCGAGGTTCAACCCACGCTCGCGCCACCACTTGCCGGCCAGCCTGGGAAGGCAATTTCGGGTGAGGCCACCTGGTCTGGTGATATCTTATCACGCTCGGGCGAGATCTAACATCCGCACGAACGACCAACACATCACTTCTCCAAAGTTACGCGACACGTGCGGATTTGCGAGTACCCCATGTCTCATGCGCCCCAAATGCAATCAACATCAAGCAGCGACAGTGGGTGTTGACCGTGGCTCGTGCAAAACTGCTCTACATAGCCAGGATTTCAATCAAACCTGATGCCTGACCCGAAGTGGAAATGCGAGCATCCGTTGCTTGAGACAATACAGTAAGCAGCTAGTGAACTTCGTTCATGAGTCTGCCCAGCGAAAAGCACCGCGAAACTCTGAATGAAGATGACCTAGCCTTTTGGGGCAAAACACGTTGTGCTCCCAGGGATTCGAACACTCTCAGTCGACGATTCACGGAATATTTGCCACACGGTACCCAAACAATACCCTCCCACACTGGAAGGCCAGGATGAATCCTTCTAGAACTCCACCGCCCTGGTTTGCTTCAACATATCCAGCGCTGTCCAGCCAAATCATTCGCCACGCGGCGTAGCACTGGTACAAGTGTAGCCGTGCAGCACCCATTTTAGTCTATTTTAGTGGGGATTGGGTCCCGTTCACTGGGGGTACGATTCGGCTTTTGACCCATGGCCATTTCACTCTTCAAAAGCCCCCCGTGCCAAAAGTTTAACTTTTTGGGGGGTTTAGTGGAAAACCCCTTTATTTCTCAAAAAGTTGAAGTCTAAAGATCCAACCCAATAGCAGTTAAGTTCAAGAGCCACCACGAAAACTGCCGGTTCCACGTCGCTCCAGGCCGAGCTGCGGCTCCTCGGTTCCGGTCACCTTCATCGACCCGCTCAATGCCAGCGCGGAGCTCCTCCGCCGAGATGATGCCTCAGGTCGACCCTAAAACGCTACTGGTGTATTCAACTAAAATCAACCAACAAGCCCAGCCAGCCAAGGCAGCAACAAAACTAGGTCCTCCAGATTTGAGAGGTTAGAATAAGTTGGTTCCCGATTTGGCTTCTTTTTTGTCTATTTTAGTAGGGGAACCCTCCCAACGAAAAAAGGGGGAGAGAAGGGCACTACTGGGTGACTTTGTATCGCATGTTACATGCGATGGGATCATGTGCTTCCCTTGAAACTCAACCAAACGCAGGCCCATATTTAACCTCAGGCGCCCTTCTTTAGGAGCAGCGCATTCAGCGCCCGCGCGATGGCCGGGCACGGCGGCTCCTGCGGGAAGACGCGAGAGAGACGCTTTTGCATGAACAACAACTACCCCACTGAAAGATCCGGGTGGGTTCTGTTGATCCATTTGTTTTGTTACATCTAACCATACCGGACATTTTGACCAACAATCAGGGTTCTGCGAAACATTCATCCAGAAAACAACTGATTTACAAGGTTTCGGATCCTCCTAAAAAAGTATCGAGTGAAGGTGATGAGTTGGGACAGTGTCTCAAAATTGTGGCTTCTGGTTTCCAAGGGAGCCCAAAAAGGCCACCGCTATTTTGGGGGGTCCCCTAAGAAAGAACACCCCCATCGGTTTCCCTTTTGAAATAACAGAAAAAAGCGCTCGGAAACAGAAATGACTCGCCCTCTCCTGCTCCAAGGCTCGCTGCTCCACGGTAGCCCGCTCTTCGTGCACGTGGTCGTGGCCCTGCGGAACATTTCGCGGGGCGGTGTTACTGGGGGAACCGTAAGGGACAGGGGGAAAACGCAGAAACAAATTTAATCCGTTGATTTGGGCTTCATCCAGTTTACTGCGTTCGCGTTCCTGAGCCGGCGCTTGCCTTGCGTTATTTGTCCAAGTTGCTCAACTTCTGCCATTTGTTGTTTAATTATTTATTCCCGCATGTTTTCGGTTGTTCGCATCTTTTCCCCCACCCCCAGTCCCGTCTTATGTAAAGTTGACCCTCCAATAGTGTGGTGATTCCCCACGATACCAGAGAAAAGCACCCCCTTATTCATACACTGGTTGCTTGAGTTTTACGGGGTCACAATTGTATAGTGACGACGATTCTGTTCAATGAACTGCTCTGACATGTATGGCCCCTAACTTGGAAATAGCCTAGCTTCGAAATATATCCAACATGGTGGAGACACATGCAAACTAACAAATAAACGCCAACAATACCACCAATTGATAGGCTTACCTTAAAGCTGATGCCCAAGCGTCTGCGAACCGACAGGGGTAACATCAATATTATGTCAAAACCTGCTTTCCCACAATTATTTATGTCGGATTTGCTTTGCCCACGAGTTGATCTGCTACTGAGTGCAACTATAAAACTGACTAGCAACATTGCTTCTAAATAACCCATTTAGCCCTGTCTTAAGACCCCTAAGTGGGCGGAAACTAGGGTTAACAACCACTTACCTGACGCAGCCCATCGCTTACCTGACACAGCCCATCGCCTCCTCAAGTATAATGAGCCAGTCAGTCAGTCCGTCAGTCAATCAGCCTGCCAGCCAGCCAGTCAGTCAGTAGCGCCTCGTGCTCATGCTTTGCGCGCTTGCAGTCCTAGGCGTTCCAACCAGTTCGAACCCTGAGACACTAAAACTTTAAACTGAGGTGTGGGGCTTTTCCTGTACCGATTCTCATGAGTGTTAGACCAAGGCAGTTACTTGCATCCCCCTGCCGTAACAAAAGGGCCTAAGTTAATTTGCCGATCACCTTCTGCTTAAAGGGGATATTGTGACATGGGTGAACAAATCGAATTTCTGAAATCACCCTTCCAAGCTAATTTTACTTTGTGTTTTCCTTGGTTTGCTCCATGGCATACATGAGTACAGCAGCCGTGTATACAACTGTTCAGTTCTGAACTGCCTGTTGCCTGCCGTCGAATTCCACCCGGTTTTCAGTCCCGGCAGCGGCACACAAAATAGATCGGAGTGCTGCCTTACCAAAGCCGTGTGCATGGCACAAATTCCTTGGTGTTGGTCAGTTCGCTGCTCACTTGCAGCCCCAATAGCCAATTCAACAACAGTGTCACGTTGAATTCCTTCAGCATGCCAGTTGGCATCAGAAGCTGCCTCGGCAAAATCACCAAGGGCAAGGCTGCTCATCTCCGCCCCAACAATTTTGGGGAGCGGGCCAGGACTTGAATGAAAATGAACGGATCAAACTACACACATGTGCCTATCTCACACCTCAACCACACTGTTCGGTCTGTAGCAAAGTTGACCTCCTTTGCCCCAAGCCCTAGTTACGCCACAAACAAGTTTCGGACACCTTTGGACACTGGAAAGCAAGCAGCCCCCAAGGCACTCAAGGCAAGCGTCCGCATGGCCGGAGAGCTCTGCAGGCGGTCGCTTCTTCTTTTGCTGCTCCAGCCTGGGATCTGAATGCTCAAAGAGCCAAGGATGACAAACCCCTCGCCTACGCCAGCCCTGTACCCTACATCAACCCTAGGCCCACCCCAAGTTGACCCGATTCGTTTCCCGCAACGTCAAGGCAAAGGATGGAATGTTCTCCTGGTGAAGGCGTGAGGTGATTCGAACTCTTGACATTTGAAATCTGCATGTGTTTGCATGTGTCGGCACATGGTCATGCCATGCTAGTTTGAAATGTCCCAGGGTCGGCCAGTGATCAGTGATCATTACATGTTGGCTGGCTATGCTCGCATACTCTCTCTGTGCACAACGCCTTGGCTAGTCGCTGCTCAAATGCCTTCAAAGAATCAGGTCCAGCGGTTACGGTTGGGGCTTGGGCACTGCTCAATCGAGGCACAGGTTATTATCTTGGGTAACATCTGAGCGAAAGCCCTTGGCAATACTCACGCAGGCGTGCGTCTTCTGCTATGTTCATGGAAAAATGATGGGCCCCCCAACGGCCTCAAAGGCGGCACAATGCATCTGACTGGTTTGGGGTGGGTTTAAGAAATTGAGGCTTTGGCTGGATGTTCGGCTGTCCTGA